TTATCATGCTTATTTTCAAAATTAATTAATGTATATAACTCAAAAGAGAACAAACTTGATAAGGACAAAGCTTGGCCAACAAAGAGTGAAAATATAACATTTAATAAAAGTTTTGGTATACAAGTTTCAGTTTTCCAGCCTGTACATCACCTTAGCACTTACCTATACATAATTAAGTTTGCTTTAGCTACAAATTTTTCATTATTAAAAAAGTACTAAAACTAGAATTAAAGATTTTAGCTCTAATTCTAATGCAATGTTACACTGTTCCAGAAACAGACTGTAAACCTAGATCCAGCAATTCATCTGAAAATGAATTTTGTTACAATGGACTCAAAAGAGGATTGTATGGAATGAGAAAAAATAATTGCACATGTAAAAACAGTACAACATTTTTAATCATGAAAAATTCATATTCACATAGTTTAAGAATTGTATTTTTCCAACATACCTTGTCCATTAATTTACTTGCATGAAGGCTCAAGCTATTAAAGAATATTTTTTTGCTGAGCAAGTGCATTTCTTCAATGGTAGTCAACAGAGTAGTCCCACTATTTCCAACAATGCCACTAAAAGCAAAGAATATTTCAGGTTGCAAAACAGATGCTAAAACAGGATGCCTGAACAAAGTGATGGTATTATTAAATAGACAATTTGAATATCATTTTACCACTGTCTTTGCATAATATAAAATGAGCTATATGTTAGATGACTTCATCTGCTTTTGTATTTTCTAATAAAGAGATATCATTAACTTCTTTTAGGAAGCCTATACCATTAAAAATTTTTTTTAAAAAAGATTTATTTATTTGTGCATACAGAACTGGGGTACAGGCCAGAGGCTCAGGGGCGGTGAGAGGCTTCACCAGAGACAGAGTGGGGAACAGAACAGGCAGATCGACAAAGTACACTGCTGAGGGGAGCAGTGGGCGGGTCAGGAGAGATCTGCCACACCATGTGGTCACCTCCAGGGCAGGCAGGAATCCAACTCATGTGGAAGCGGCTTTAAATTCTCAGTGCTGTGCTTTAACCCGCTGCGCCACCAGGGAGGGCCCAGTATACCATTAAAATTTAAAGCAATTTACTGCCTTTGAATAACTAATGAGTGATAATAAATTTATATCTAACACCTAAAATGTTTGAAGTATATCCCAAATCTTCTGTAGCCCATGGCTTTTCAGTTTTGTTTGTATGTCTACCAGTAGAATAGATATGAAATCCTTTCTTCACTATAAATTTTTGGTGGGGTAGGGGAGGGCTAACCAAGGCAGCTGTTGCTTTTCAGTAGTTTATTAGCTATCCCTGTACCTTGCCCTGCTAACTATAATTCTCTTGAGTTTTAACAATTGACCATCTATTCCTAATACTAGTAAAGTGAATTAAAAGCAACTTTTAAATCAGTTTTAATGGACAAATCTAGAAACTATCAAATATAAAAACTGAAAGAACACTTCACACAGCTATATATATATATATAAACACATGCACATGCACTTATAGTAACATATATAGTAAAGCTCAAGTGTATATAGGCAACAGATATATGCAAAGTAAAAATTAATGTATATATTGGAATAAAGGATAAAAGTAAATTGGTTCCTAAGCAGGTAAAGTAGTTTTTACTTAGAGCAGATAAAGCTATGGTTCTATTTCATCACAAACAGAAAATTAAGTATTAAGGAACAATTTGCTACTTACAAACCAATTAAGGTATTTCACTCATTATGTCTAGTTCTGAGGATAATACAAAGTTGTCATGGAACTTTTACTAATTTGGGTATAATTACCTTACAGACATACTATTAAACAGGTTGCTGTATGTGTGCATATGTGTTTAACGTGTATTTGTATTTGGAGAATGGGAAAAAGAAATAACAGATCTCAAAGTATAGCATGTAAAATATGCACATAACAATTCATATGACCAGGAAGTTCTATCAACACTCAGTCATGAACATATAGTGAAAACCAAAACAACTTTATACTATGTTCTAATGAAACAAGGTATCACATGAGCTTAAATGGCACTTTTCACCTTTCCATTTACCTGATTGTATGGTGGTAAAATTTGAGGAGGTTAGAAATTTTATATAGTAATACTGCACCGGGCTCAGCAACTATTACTTGTTCAATTCGAACCTATAAAAACATGGGAGGAAAGATTAAACATTTCTGTAAGAAAACCTAACTTTTCTTGCATAAATCACAAAATTCATTTTAAATAACTTCTGAATATTAAATCATAGGGGAGGATGAAAAACAAACATTTTAACACAGATCAACTCTATAAAAAGGATCCACTACCTACAGAATTTGACTCAAGGCAGTAGTTACCAGAAATAACTAGCACAACGATGAGATCATTCTGAGGTATTTTACCAGTATAGAGAGGAATTTAGGTCAGCACTAAATCACGAAACAACTTTTACATTTCTAGTAATAGATTATTAGTTAAAATGTACTGCTCAATCATCAAATATTCAAAAAAAAATCTTCAAATGTTATACCAAGTTTCTTTTTTATATTAGAGAATAGAAAGGCAGACAAACCATAATTAACACCAACATATTTGTGTAATTATAAGATTACCAGGACAATATCTGATCTAGTTAAAGATTAATTTTATCTGTCTCAGATTAATTACTAGGAATCTTTTCCAAATTAAGTGCCATCCCTCACTGATATTTCTTACTTTATATTTAATTAATGAATACAACCAAAACCACACTGATATGTGGTCATTTACATATTATATCTATTCTTAAGCTGCTACTTACACTGAGTTTTCCTGTTTCCTAGTACATTTCAAACACAGATATTGTGTTTTCTGTTTCTTTTGAATCTAGCAGCATTTGGTAGAACTGTGATATATACATAACAGATGTTTAATAAATGCCTATGAAAGTTGAACTTTCTCTGTATTTAAATTTTGGAATATGTTACAATGCCAACAAATATAACTTGCTAAAATGAAATTTTATAAATGTATGTGATATAGTTAGGTGAGCATACAAAAGCCTTTTGGATTATTGAAATTAATCCATGTTTATGAAACTAATATATCTTTTGTCATAAAATAATAGACTAGCTAACTATCCCAATATTATAAATCATGAATGGCATATGAGCCTAAAGCCATAATTTCCGTATTAAAAATTATTTTAGGTCCAAGGCCATAAACCACTTTACATTATATACCAACAAAAGTGATACTTTGAAAATATTTGCACACAATATTAATGACAAAGGGCTGATCACAAAGATATACAAAGAGTTGATTGATTACAAAGATATACAAAGAGCTGATTAAACTCAACAAAAATAAAGTGAACAACCCCATCAAAAAGTGGGGTAAAAAGAAAGAAAAGGTAAAAAGACACTTCTCCTTTGAGGAAATGCAGGCGGCCAACAGGCATATGAAAAAATGTTCAACATCACTTGTAATAAGGGAAGTGCAAATTAAAACCACGATGGATAGTATCTTACATCAGTGAGAATGGCACATATTAAAATGACTAGCAACAAATGTTGGTAAGAATGTAGAGAAAAAGGAACTCTCCTACACTGCTGGTGGGAATGCGTACTGGTACAACCACTATGGAAAGCTGTTTGAAGATTTTTCAAACTGCTAAAAATAGAGCTTCCATATGACCCAGCAATCCCATTCCTGGGCATCTACCCAGAGGATACAAAAACATCAATTCAAAAAGACACCTGTTTATTGCTGCACTATTTACAATAGGGAAGGTGTAGAAGCAACCCATATTCTCAAAAATAGATGACTGTGTATATGTGGCACATAAACACAATGAAATGAAATATTACTCAGCAATCAAAAAGGTAAACTCATGCGTTTGTAGAAACATGAATGGAGCTAGAAGGGATCATGCTCAGTTATATAAGCCAGAAAGAAAAAAGAAAAATACCAGATGGTTTCACTCACAGCAGGAATGAGCATAGGGACAGGGGTTTGAGGCGGGGTGGAGAAGTGGAGCAAATGTACTGAAGTAAAAATGAAAACAACAAACAACTTTAAACCAGAGACATGTAATGGGGTAGAAAGGCAAATTGGATCAAACTGGGGTGGGAAGCGTGCACGGGACTATGGTGATGGCAAACGGGTTAATTGGTGGTGGGAAGCTCACAGGGATTACAACTGAGATGAAAAACTGTACAAAAAGAATGATATAAAAAATAAATAACTTTTAAAAAACAAACAAAAGAGTGATATTTTCTGGATTTTAATATAGTTATTAGTGCAAAATATAATGGATATTAATTGCACTCAGGCAGCTCTACCTTACCAAATTTATAAAACCATCTCAGCTATTTGGCAACATCCCTTCTAGAATTTTCAGGCATGAAAAAAAAAATCTTCATTCCAATTATTTTTAAGACAGAAAATAAGAAAGGGTAAGAGAGAGGAAAAGCAGTAAAGTGAAAGAGGAAAGAAGGAAAAGAAAATTAAAATATTTACCTCTATTCAACCACACAGTGGTTTTGAGGGACAGCGGCATCTTTTCTGTGTGCCACTTTTTTGTCTTATGAGTCCAACCATTTTCAAGCAAAAAAGTAACAGTCATGGGAAAAACAACAGGAGATAATAGACACAAAAATTTAAAAGTAAAATGGGTAAAAGAGCAATGAGCACTAGCAGTAGCAACTAGCTGGAAATTATAATGGTAACAAAGGAAAAAAAAAAACAGAGCTATAGAGGAGAGACAGAAACAGCGGTTCAGAGATAAAGTGTTTGGATCAGTCCCTGGCACTTAAGAAACATTCAATAAATCATAAATGTCTACATTATTACAAGTAGCATAGATGATAACGGCAAAAATTAAAAGCAGCAAAATGTGCTCTAGGCAAACTAGCAACAATCTTGGGAAGAGATAAAACAGAACAGTAGCTCTCCTCTCCGATGCCAGAGGGACAGGCAGAGCAGAAGCAAGCATGATATAGCTAGAGAAGGAAAAGAATTTGTGTTTATGAGGAAGGGGACAAAGGGAAAAGGCAGGATTCAGGGGGTTAATGATAAAGTTCCTTTATTTATATTATCTTATTATCACAGATAGAGGTAAGGGAAGATGTTTGTCCCAAGTCCATAGCAATAATCTGAGGGCATGACTGTGTAAAGAAACACAGCTTGTAAGTCTATTTTCTGCCATCTCACAGCTTACATAAGTTAATTCAAAATGCATTAAAGACATGTATATAAGACCTGCCTGTAAAATGTAGACAAAAACATGGGCAAGATACTTCAGGACACTAGTAGCATCAGTGATGTCTTTGTGGACTTATTTCCAATGGCAAGAGAAACATAAATAAATGGTAAATCAAACTAAAAAGATTCTGTGCAGCAAGAGATTATTAGTGAACAAAAGACAACCGAGTAGGAGAAAAAAAGTTGCACAGCATTCATCTGATAAGGGGCTGACATCCAAGATATATAAAGAGCTCATATAACTCAACAAAAAGAAAACAACCTGATCAAAATTTGGTCAGAAGAATTAAACAGGCATTTCTCCAAAGAAGACAGACAGATGGCCAATGGCACACAAAAAACTATTCATCACTTATCATCAGGGAAATACAAATCAAAGCAATGAGACTTGGCCCTTATCAAAAAGACCAGAAACAAGTGTTGGTAAGGATGTGGAGAAAAAGGAACCTTCGTACATTATTGTTGGGAATGTAGACGGGTCCAACCTTTATAAAAAACAGCAATTTCTCAAAATATTAAAAATAGATCTAACATGATCCAGCAATTCCTCTCGTTGGTGTCTACCCAAAGATGCAAAAATAATCATTCGGAGGGATATGCACACTCCTTTGTTCACTGCAGCAATGTTTGTAACAGCCAGCACTATGGACGCAACCTGTGTCCAAGGACAGAGGAGGGGATTAGAAAAATGTGGTATATACGCAATGGAATACTACTCAGCTATAGAAAAAAAAAGATGAGCCTTGCTATTTTTTGACATGGATGAAAATGGAGGGGATGATGTGAAGCGAGATAAGCCAGAGAAGAAAGACAAATACTGGATGTTTTCATTTATATTTGACATATAAAGAAACAAAACAAAGGATCAGACAAAACCAAACCAATAGCAACCTGTAAAAATCTGACCAGAATTGAAGGTAAAGAGGGTGAGGTATGAAGAGAGGAAAATACAAGGAACTATGAAGGAGGACTGTGGGAGCCGTGGTAACGGGTGCAGCATGGTGACATGCATCTGAGGAGGTAGGAGCCTATGTACCTGGAACCACACACAGTGTTATAGACCAATATGACCGCAATTAAAAAAAAAGAAAGGTGTTTTTGTGATTAATGTGTTAACTTGACAAATTTACAACCTATCAGTTTCTTTAAACTCAAAGAATAAAGAAGTAATTTAACCAGAAGATGTATAAAATATGTGAAAACAAAGTATTTTACCTTTAGAGGCCTACATACACCTTCAGTGATATGTCCAACAACTTCTTGAATATTATCTTCAATACCTACAATTAATTATAACATAATTGAACTTTTTCCCATGTTACACCTTGTTTCACTTAAATTAAAAAAGAAACATATATATGATGAAGAACACTAATAAAAAAACATTTCATTTATTTATTTATAAAAGATTTTATTTACTTATATTTTCATAGAAAACCTGAGGTGTAGGCCAGAGATCTGGGGGGCAGGGGGTGATGGGGGTAAGGTTGTGTGAGAGGATTTACCAGAGACAGAGTGAGGAGCAGAACAGGCAGATCGACTGAAATACACTGCTGAGGGGAGCAGTGGGCGGGTCAGGGGAGGTCTGCTGCCCTATGTGGGTCAGCTCCTTTTGGCTGGAGATTGAACTTAGGCCACTCTAGTGGGCAGCTGCAGTGCTGAGACTTAACTCTAGGCCACCAGGAAGGTCCAATAACAAACATTTAAAATAACCATAACAATAATTTTCTAAGTTTAATATCTTCTAAGGACATTACCAACAATGTTAATAATCTGAATCTGTAATTGAGTATTACTTAATAAAATGAATATTCCTTTCTATAAAATAATAAATGTGTGAATTATTGAGGAAAAAGGGATTGAGATACATTAAAAGTAGCAATGTAAACATGTATTAGCTTTTGTTCCACTAATACCTTATTCTAGGCAATGGTATTGAGCACATGAGATTAAAAAAAAAAAACAGACCTTTTGACTTTTGATCTAATAGGAAAACTGACATTCATTAAATATTATTTCTTAAGCTACAGGGCTGTACTGGGTACTTGACATTTACTGCTTGTAACTACCTTCACTTTTACAGATGGAGAATCTGTGGCTGAGGAGAAGTAACCGATTCCCACAGAATTATCTGTATCATTTCACTCTAATCCATTTTCTTTCACCTCTTTTTACTGCCTCTCATGTATACTAAAGGAATATAGTCCTTGCATTGGGTAATTAGAATGATAGAAAAAAACCTTTTAAAAGTACAGACTTTGTGCTACATTAACATATGCTGTTTAATCTCAATGTCAGAGTTAAAAAGGAAAGACGGTTAGGAGTGTTGTGACCAGCCTCCTCTGCACAGGGAAGACCTGTGGAAATAGTCATGTGACATCTGTGGCAATGTTTCATTTCTATCAAAAGCTAAACATGTTAGTTATCCATTGATTTCTCAGTTGTCAAGGAAGCATCTTAAGGTAGTCACAACTAAGATTTGCAATCCTATAAACAGACACCAGCAACTTAAAAAAATGCCTTTTTTCTTCCTTGAAATCAAGACCCACTTTTAAAAGACCCACTTTTAAGTTACTGCAACTATTCAAGAAACTTTAAAGTCACATAAGAATGAAAACAGGGGTTGCATAGCAGAAAGATCTGTCAGTATGATGATCTTAAGCAAGTTATCTTGTTACCAAGTGAAAATAATATCACATTTTTACCTCTGAAGTGTGGAGCAGAAGAGCTGAGGTAATATACGTTATGTATTCCAGAAATGCCTTAAAAGTGAAGCAGAAGAGTCTATACTGGATATGGAAAGTAATAGGATCCAATATAAAAGTGTGAACAGTTGTGTGACAGGACAAGTGATGGAAGAGAAAGTCTATTAGCAGAATAAGTCTACTGGCAGAATTAATCAAGATGCTTATTTGGTAAAAGCAAAAATCAAGGTTCATGTGAAATCCTGGATTCTTCAGGTTTCAATACCCTCAATATTCAAAATATGATACTCTGTTATTCACATAGTGCCAAAAAATCGAGTTCTCATACATATAGTGCAATTAAAAAAAAAAACTGTACCATTTATATGTGAAGAGTTTATCTCCATCAAGAATACAGCAATAAAAACAGAGACTAGAGCGAGGTAAGTCTTATATTATTTTCTGTATTTAGGCATTAGTAATAATAGTTAGAGGACATACCTTGTGCAGTTACATGCTTTAAGAGAGCTTCAAGGTGTTCTTTTTCAGAAGCAGTAGCTTGATGTAACCAAGCCAGCATATCCCCTACATATCTAATGAAAAAGCAAAATGTCAGTAATTTTTTTTTTTTTTTTCAGAAAAACACCCCATATTCCAATGTAACCTGATCACTATACCTCAAAGGGTCATGAGAATGCATTTCAATGGGTCTAGGTGTACCCCCTGGGCCTCCTCTTGTAAGAGCATCAATGAATCCACGAACAACTGTACTTCTTCGAGCTGTTCCAAATTCATCTAAAGTGTATCTAGAAAAACAAGTTGTGTGAAAGATAGGTGTTTAACTTGCTAATGGTTATATCAAAATAGTTAAGCATTTTCTTAAACAATACAGCTAAAGTTTTTCCACAAAATTGAATCAATACTACTATTAAACAACAAAAAATTTATGAAATAACATAGTAATGAAATTCAACCTAAAGTTTTGTATTTTTACCTCATGAAAAAGAATACCGAGATTTAGGATCATTAATGGGTAAAGGCAATAGGGGCAGAACAGTGGATTTGTTAAAAGCAAAAATCAAGATTCAGGTGAAATCCTGGATTCTTCAGGTTTCAATACCCTCAATATTCAAAATACAGTACTCTATTATTCACACAGTGTCAAAAAATCGACTTCTCATACACTACTTACAGTGCAATCAAAAAAACAAGACTTTTTCTATCAGAAAAGTCTCCTACACACATACATACAAAAACATACAAAACATACATACTAAAACATACAAAGAAAGTTTACCTATATCATATTATCCACAATGAAAGCTTATTTTGGCTCCAATATTAGACATATGTTCCTTAAATTTAATGATCAAGCATATACAACTAATACTTTCTTCTCCCATCTCATCATGTGGTTAAAAGAAAAAAAGAACTTTCTAAGACAAGTAAATTTGTAGGGAAGGAAAGCTTTGAAGTGAGACAATACTTTGGGGTAACATTTATAAGGCTCTCCTGGATTTGTCAGGAGTGTTCATTTCTTCTTCTCTCACACCTATTGACACTTGAAAGTTTTCTAATTTATGTCCATAGGAAACAAATTTTTTTTCTCCCAATTCAAGTCAGCAGTTTCCAAACATATTAACTTTCAAATCTGTAAGCACTATTCTACAAGGCTAAGTACTAGGGATAATTTTTCTTACCATACATATTAACAAAAGTTACCAAACGTTTCCAAAATAGTAGTTTTCCAGGCTATACTACTTTTTTTTTTAATATGCTACTGAATTAATACGAATTCTACTTTTAAAATATAAGCTGGAAGAGAAAATAAAAGGGAATGTGAAGTGGTCAATAGCTATGTGTAGAAATTTGAGCTTTTTTAAAGGACAATTCACCACTAACCAGATCATGATTCTTTTGTGTGTTTTCAGTGAAACGGGATTTGAAGGGTTTAAATTCCTTCTGATAACATGCCAGCAATGTATCATAATAAAAATGCAATATCAAGTTAAGATTTGCTAAACTGCACAGTGCCTTGCTTTTAAATTAAGAAAAGAATAATGTTTAAATTCCAACTAAACACAACTGGAAAACCTTAGCCATCATCTGCATCCTCTTTTCAAATTGATATATTTAACCCAAAGGTCAAGGTAGATGATTTTAAAATTGTTTATTATACAACATGTTTCTTTCAGATTGTATAGTGTTAATGCATTAAAATTAATGTAAATAGCATTGGAGGGTTTAAGTCTAAAGATTTCTAAGCCTTTATGTAATAGGTCAATAGCTTCATTTTATTTTGGCAATGTAAGAGTAGTATGATTTTTAAATTATAGCCACAAAGATGACAAAAATAGAAGAAAGCAAAGAAACAAACCAAAAAAAAAATGTTGAGTATAAAGAATGAATTCCTTTAAAGGATCCCCAGTTCTATGAAATGACTCATGGTCAAATGATGATTTATCACAGCACAAAATTCAGAAGTTTTTAAAATACATTAAACTAATCCTCACTTTCAGGACTTCAATAAATAAAACAGTGTAACTTCTGCTTCTAGGACTGTTCATTGTGAGCACAAATTACATTAGAAACCAGTGAGTCCACTGGCATTTTGAATAGGGTAAGTGGGTGGAATTATTCAGCCTAACAAGAGGAGATCTAACCTATATAATACAAAGTATAAATATTAATTTTAATATTAATTCTCTTGCATTAGTAAAATAGCATGAACTATGATGACCTTTCAATGACATCTATAGTTATATGTTCCCAAATAAAGTAGAAATGTTCTTTTCAGACAAAATTTCAAAATCTAGCTTTATAAAGGCAAATTTTAAGTAAAATTTTGTAAGTATTCTAAAATACCTCTAGTTAAAATTAAAAGTTAAAAGTAAATTTAAAAATGAATGTTCTTGGCTAAAAAAAAATAAAATAGTGTAAAAGCCTAAGAAATGCAATAAATAAAGAATGAAGAAAAATCAGTATTTTCCATATTTCTACATTCTTTAATAATTTATTTCTGAAGGTTTACCAAGTGAAAGACATACATTTTTATTTCCGCTTAAATTTCCTAAAAGCAAAATTTATGTACTTGATTTACAAAAAGCTAATTAGTATACCAGTTACATACTACAAAAAAAAAAGGCAACTTTCCCAAGGAACTCAATAATTAAGACTTTTTCTTGTATACACTTACATTTGGGACACAAGGGACATAAAGCTTTTACATACTTAAAATTCATATAGTGCCATCTAGTGGTTAACCTGACATATTAAGTTTTCCCTAAATTTAAAGAAAAGTACCGCTGAAAACAGATGATTAATGAGAGGTCAATTTTCTTGTTTAGATTCATCTATGGTAATCCAGTGGCCTTAAATATTCCTTCCTTCCTATTTAACTTCCAAATTTCTCTTACAATCTTGTAAATGGCACTACTGCCCCAATTCCATGACATACACTCTCCAGATAAATGTGAGCTAGATCTTCGCTTTTGCGTTACAGTTCTATTGTCTGTCTTGTGAGCTTTGTCCAGCATGTAAATGACTAATACACTCTTCTTTAGTTAGTAACTTCCCAGTTTATCTTCTTTCTAAATAAAAATAGCTAATATTTAGAGATGAAGAAAAACATTATGCTAAAGTATCTCATGTGAACAAGCAAGTTCACAATCCTGTAAAGTAGGCAATACTTTATTCCCATTTTATAGTGAAAAAAGTTTATAAAGGTCCAGGAGCTTGTCAAAAAACCTGATGTAGGGCCCACTTTCTGAATAATTATGCCATATTGCTCCTTTCCAAAAGTTCATCAAGAATTATAATTTGCTAAAAATATATTTACATGGTAGAAGTCAGCCAACATTTTCAGATGTCAAAAATAAACAGCATTTAAAAAAAATTCCACCTAGTGAACAAACAAGAGTCTGTAGATAATGAAACCCTTTCTGAAAATACTAAATATGTAAAGTACTAAAAGACTCTGATAATCAAATACCAATACCTAAGGTAAAGAGGTTAGGAAAAAAATTTCAATGGAGTACAAGTTGCTGAGCTGGTGATCAACAGTGAGGATTAACTTGTCATACAGACAAGCACAACATTCAGGCTGTATGATTTGGCTCTTGCTACTATGCCTATAACCAGTGAAAGCTTCTGCAATGAATTTCCCAAAGGTGTATGTTCTTTCTCAATCTATATCTTTGCATCTACTATCCCCTCAATTCTCTCCTCCCTTAATTATCCTAGAAAATGCCTATTCAGCTTTTGCAACTAACTTTACACTTGGGTCCCAGAGGAAACATTGCCTGATATTTATCCTTCTACCACAAAACACTTGAGTCACATAGCCCCTGAGACACATCTTTTAGAATAGCAATCAATATATCCAGTAAAGTAGACTTATGTCTAGGTTCTATAAAGTAAGGCAATTTGAGGACAATATTTAATTGATATTATGACTTTAGTATTTAGAATAGCACTTAACACACATGGCTTTCTGATTCTTGAACTTTCCACTGAGTTCTCCCTATTTACATGTTCTAGGCATTAAAAATATATACTTCTGTTTTATATGAAAGCTAGGAAAATAAACTTAAAATCAAATATATAAATAAGTCAATAAGGTATGAGTTTCTTTTCCAAAGCATTGTTACAGATGTTTGGACTGGCATAACTGATCAATGATCTAATTCTTTTATTATGTCCTAATAGTGGAATCCTGATTTAAAATTTCTTTTTTCATCTTTACATAATTATATTTCTCAGTCCTCTATCTGATCTCCTCTCCAGGGCTGGGCTGATTACTGGAGTTTTACTTACAAGTCCAAAGTAGTTAATTAGACTGAGAAAAAGCCTCTTAACTGCTACAAAATAAGTTGTCTAGATAGAGACCCCATAGTTTTCCTTCCATGTATTCTACGGCACATAACATACAAACAATGTTCCAATGGAAGCACAGAATATGAGATACCAGTAACACTAAATTATTATACATATTATGTAAGCTATATTGTATATGTATATGAATTTGATAATACTGAAAGTTAATGTAAGTTATTAAGAAAAAGTAGGGCTTTTTTTAATTAGGAAAAAGTCACCGACTTATATAAAACAGGCCTGTCCTGCAGGGCTTCCATTGACCGAGTTAATACTGGAGATATGTCACATGATTCTTGTGTCAATGTTCTGCATTCACCTGCAAAACAGTTAACATTAGAACTCTAGTTATATTAAAATTAGGTCTTTATTATGTCCACTGTATACCCAGCATCTAAATACTATAAAACGTTCTACATAAAAGAAATACCTGGAAAAAACACAAGAGTATCAGTCAAAAACTAGTTCACACTGTCAATTTATTATATATTATAATAAACTTATAATATATAATTTATATTATAATTTACTCTCTGGTATATCCCAAACCTCTATTTTATTATTACAGAAAAATTACAATTCTAAGGAAACCAATGAACAAATATTCACTGAGTAACTGTCATACACATGGCAATGATTAAGAAGTGAAGGAACAGTACTATAAATATATTACCAGTTCATTCCTTTAGGAGCAATTTTAAACAGTTCACTAAAAATGTTTATATAGATGACTGATGGCAATAAGACTGTAATTTCAAAATAGTTTCTATTTTAAGCTTTTAAAAATCTCTACATCGGGCCCTCCCTGGTGGCGCAGCGGGTTAAAGCACTGCACTGAGAAGCTAAAGCCACTGCAGCATGAGTTCGATTCCTGCCTGCCCCGGAGGTGACCACATGGCGTGGAAGACCTCTCCTGACCCGCCCGCTGCTCCCCTCAGCAGTGGACTTTGTCCATCTGCCTGTTCTGCTCCCCACTCTGTCTCTGGTGAAGCCTCTCGCCGCCCCTGAGCCTCTGGCCTGTACCCCAGTTCTGTATGTACAAATAAATAAATCTTTAAAAAAAAAAATCTCTACATCAACTTTTTTATACTAATTTTATTCATAAAATGCTTTACTTAGTTCCTATTGTGTTCAGAGAACTTGGTGCTTGTTCAGACAAGCTCAGCCTTTTGATAAATGAGGACTTCATCCTAGCGATTTTCCAGCTTGCAGCGACTAAAAGAAGCACACGTGTATGGAATTGTAGGTGTCTTCAGAAGATTCAAGAGTCCCTAGATGTCAGAGGTTCACAGTTTGGATCACTAATGTTAGATGTCATGAGAGCATAAAGAAATCTGAGGCACCAGCTTTGCATTTAAGAAAGAAATCTAACTGAAGAGGTAAGATATGTAAACATGAAAAGGTAAGTAATTAACAATAGTATTGAATACCAAATAAAAATTTCTAAAGGTTATGTTCAGAGATGAGGAAAGTCATTGAGAATTAATGCAGTCTCAGAAACTTCCACGTAGATAGAGAATCTAAATTCTTTGAAGACTGGAATAGGATTAAGATATAAACATGAAAGCCACAAAGCACCCTGAATAAGACTAAATAGTACATATGAAAGACAGAAAAAGAAATAGGTTTTTGGAGATAAAGGATAAATCATCTGAGATAATTAGATTTTCAACAGTACAGGTGTTGCTGGTTAACTGGAGTTAATGATTTCAATTCAATTAATATTTTAATTTCAAACGGTCAGTTGCTAATATCTATTAAAATACCGTGCTCTTTTCCATGTGGTGGCAGCCATCAGGTAAGCCAAAATATATCCAGGAGCTGAGGAAGAAGCAGCAATTCCATGTGATGTGCTTTCTTCTCAGGGTGCCCTGTTAGCAGGCCTGCCAGATGCCACCACTCCACGGCGCCTCTCCCCTATTCTGCTCAATCTAGAGTACACACTGAGTAAGGCCAAGCAAGCTGTTAGATACTGGATTTGTGGGTGCTATGGAGGCTGCAAATGTCCCTTCTAAAGGATGCAACTTATGGCCAGCTTGTCAATCAAGATCCTAAGCAGCTAACATTTGCTGTTGCCGAGGAGAGAGCTGGATGCCACTGTGGGGCTCTGAGAATCTAAACTACTAGTGGGTTGGTGAAGATGTTATGTATAAATATTCTGAGGTTACCTGCATTTATGTAGTCCCTACAATGATCAGAAAAAAAAATCTGACACCCAGTGGATCACAAAACCAGAACATAAGCATAGAGATAATCAATGACTGAAGTCTGCAGGCTGCCAAGCATTGTGGCCTTGGAAAGAGCCACAAGTTCTACCACATTATTGGCATTCTTGCCATGCAGCTTGGAGAGGGTACAATAATCCCCACCCCACCTTACTGCTGAAAAGTAATGTTTGTAACATCCTGACCTAAAAAAAAAACAAAACAACCATGTGCTTTTATTCAATTCTAGTTGTCTTAACTATCTCCTCTGGTTTTAAAAGCTGATTTTGTGAACAAGCTTTTGAAACCACTTAAAATAAAGCTAAAACAAATAAACCAAAGATTCCTAACACCTAGAACCTGTCAGTTATGTTATATGGCTGAAGGGAGTTTACATATGGAAATAAAGTGACAGATCTAAAAATAGGGACATTTTCCCCAGATTACCCAAGTAGGTCCAAAGTAATCATGTTGGCAGATGAGTTAAGTCAGAGATATAAGATGGAAAAAGAGGCAAAACTCAAAACATGGATGAGATTAGATCCACAGTTGCTGGGTTTGAAAATGGAGAAAGAGCCACCAGCCAAAGAATGCAGGCAATCTCTAGAAAATAGGAGAAGGCCTCAATGACAGCCATCAGTAAACTCAGATCTCAGACAGTCCTACAGGCTCAAGGAATTAAATTATGCCAACAAGCTGAATGAGGAAGGAAAGAGATTACTCCTATAATCTCCAGAAATAAATATAGCCCTGCCAAGACTTTCAGTGTGGTAAGAAATATGTCTGATTTTTAAATTACAAAACCAGAATAAATGCATGTTACTTTGAGCAATTAAAAGTTTGTGAAAATTTGTTACAGCAACAAGAGAAAATTGTTGCACAATTTAAAATATAATTATATGTATAACCAGAGAGGTATTCAATTTTAAGATAACTTAAGGCAAATGATTTTTTATTCCTATTAATCAGGCATAGTGCTTAGTCGATGTTCATGACCAAATATAAAGAAAACAGGCTCAAATGTCAGGTTTACTTTAAAAAAAACATATATTTTTTGCTTACTAAGACAAATTATGTTATTAAAAAAAGACCAAATAAAATTAAAGTCAAACACAAATATTCACAAATTTAAACCACATGAAAGAAACCACTTACTTTGAGCCCATCGGTAAAGCCTTTCATAAGCTGTTTCTTGAAGCAAAGCCATCTGTTCCATAATTTCTAAACTAAAAAAATTTTAAACATTTATTGTAATTTAAACTGTGAGCCAATAAGTACACTTTATTTTTTAATTACACAATGATTTGGTTATATCATATTAACTTTTTATCATTTTGTGCAGAAAATTTTTAGTAAATAAATACTGTCAAATTTTAACATCATCATTTAGTTATCTAACTTCTGTTTTACTTTAAAGGGTATTATAATACCCATGCCCGAAGTAACTCCTATTTCACAAAATGTCATCTAGTTTCAACAGGAACTTAGAATGTCTTAAAGATTTTAGAACTAAAAGGGGCAAATGCAATTATGTATTGAAAAGGTTACTTACCCTGCTGTTTGTTGGTTTGTACGTAAGAGAACTTTGACATCATTATGAATTTGTTTTACTCTTCCCAATGCTTTGAAAAAATCCTTTAAAATTAAGAATGTGACTTTAACATTTTATGTTTTCAGGCAAAATTACATTATACTGAGTTGAAGTATCACTAAAAGGAAAACCAAATTCACCTATTCTAATGACTCCTTCCTACACTGATCTTAACTGTACAGGAAGCAGATATTTATTCACATTTTAAAACATAATATTTATTGTCTACTGTGTGCCAGTTGGTGTGCTAACTACCAAAGATACAAAATTTATAAAGGCAAAAATCCCTGTCCTCAAGATTTATACAGGCTTGTGAGAAATACAAACCTAAAGATTAGTATATATGGGGAAAAAATTGTTGTATATTACATATCTTATGTCTTATTTAAGCAGGGCTTATAACTAAAGATGTTTTACATCTGTTCTTGCCCCCACATACAAGAATACAATGCAAAGTTGAACATATAAAAGATGTTCATTAAATATACAGGAGTTAACTGATGCTGAAATCTAGGCTTTTACTCTTTTAGAAAAACATATCAGAGCTTTAGTTTCCAGATAACTGCAATTTGTGTTCTAACCATGAAATAATGGATGTGCTTTCTTACATGAATGAAATTTTAAAAAATCCATCTCCTCCAATACTATACATCAAATAGAGATGTCAAATATTTCAAATGTGACAAATTCCTCAAACTACATGTACATACTACTGTATGTACAAGAACAGTCCTAGTGAGTTTTAGAAATAAGACATCCTACAGAGCTCCCTACATCCTGGTGACTGGTTTCATCCCAACCTAGACTGTAAGATGAACAAATATTGGCATCCGAGACAAGAGCCACTCAGTGAGGCCCTCCCCCATCAAGTTCTCTCCCTGCTCTCAGATCCCAGCACAATGACAACAGGCTTAGGTTTATAGCTCTGATTTCAGAGCCTAAAAGGTTCCTTCCTAGAAAAACAATGTCTACAAGGATGGAAAAAGGAACAAAGCTTTTCTCTGTTCAGCATTTCAAGAGTTTCTATATTTCTAAATCAAGCTGACATTGGTGGCATAGGTTACAAAATCAATGAGATAAAAGAATAAAGGATTATCAAGTGGAGGAAAGACAAAGTTATAAAAGGAAGAATGTGGATATAATACTTTAATGTCATGTAGTAAAACCAGAAAATATCACTTAATTGTGAGGTTATGAAGGAAAAAGAATATATATGTACAGAAGGCTGCAATAGGACCAAAAAAGTCAAAAGCCTTGTATTTTATCATAGAAAATTAACAATGACGGCCCTCCCTGATGGTGCAGCGGGTTAAAGCAAAGCACTAAGAAGCTAAAGCCACTTCCGCATGAGTTCGATTCCCGCCTGCCCCGGAGGTGACCACATGGTGTGGCAGACCTCTCCTGACCCGCCGGCTCCACTCAGCAGTGTACTTCATCCATCTGCCTGTTCTGCTCCCCACTCTGTCTCTGGTGAAGCTTCTCGCCACCCCTGAGCCTCTGGCCTGTACCCCAGTTCTATATGCACAAATAAGTACATCTTTAAAAAAAAATAGTTAACACTGATTATCAAAACATATTCTTTTAAATTATAATTCTAGAATACAAAATTTAAAAAGAAACAATGGCTAACAAAAGACTTAGAGATGGAAAGGGATAAAAAGAGGAGATTTAGGTTTTCCTTGTAACTGTATGCTTTGATTTCTAGAAAAGACACATATGCTTTGAAGAAAACAAAAATTTAAATGAATTAAGGTAATTTACAATATGCCTCTTTGGACACTCTCCATTTGATTAGGATTTCTTCACACAACTCAATATAAATTAAGCAAACACCCAATCAAAATTGAGTGAAACAGACACTGCTCCAAAGAAGAAAAACTTGTGAAAAATGTTCCTCGACATTTAAGGAAATACAAATCAAAACCACAATGAACTACCATCTCACACCTGTGAGAATGAACCATATTTTAAAAGAGCAGAAATAAGAACTTCTGGCAAGGGTAGAGAGAAAAAGGAACCCTTTTACACTGTTGGTTGGAATGTAGACAGGTACAGTCACTATGAAAAGCTGTGTGAACGTTCCTCAAAACACTAAAAATGGATCTGTCATATGACCCAGTTATTCTACTCCTAGGAATCTATCCAAAGAACACAAAAACACTAATTTGAAAGAAAATTTGCCACTCCAGTGCTTATTACAGCATTATTGTTTATAGCAGCAGTTTATAATAGCCAAGATATGGAAATAACCTAAATGCCCAAAACAGATGACTGGATCAAGATGGGGTGTTTATATACACATATATTATTCAGTGATGAAAAAAGAAAAATCATGTTCATGCTGTTCACAGCAACATGGATAGAGCTGGAAAGGGTTATGCTAAGTGAAATAAATCAGAAGGAAAAAGACAAAGTATCAAATGGCTTCACTAATATGTAGAATATGGAGAAACCAAATAAGGGGTCAGATAACCACAGCCCTTTAAAGTTGCCCATGGATCTGAGGCATCCAGGAAGGGAGTGGGAAGGATGAGAACAAGGTAGGGGGAAGAGCATAGGGACTATGATGGAGGAATAAGAGTACGTTGGTGGGGAGAATATGACCACACCTGAGGGAAGAAATCATACACTGTCTAAAAATTTATAATGTAAGACAAAGGTACTTTATTTAAAATTCTGTTCCTCACGCTGTCTCTGGTAAAGCCTCTCACTTCCCCTGCTCCTCTGGCCTGTAACCCAGTTCTGTATACATAAATAAATGACTCTTTAAAAAAATTAAATTACTGGGCCCTCCCTGGTGGCGCAGTGGGTTAAAGCACTGTACTAAGAATCAAAAGCTACTTCCGCATGAGTTCGATCCCCGCCTGCCCTGGAGGAGATCCACATGGCGTGGCAGACCTCTCCTGACCCGCCCGCTGCTCCCCTCAGCAGTGTACTTCGTCTATCTGCCTGTTCTGCTCTCCACTCTGTCTCTGGTGAGGCCTCTCACCCTCCGCATCTCTGGCCTGTACCCCAGTTCTGTATGAATAAATAAATCTTTAAAAAAAAATTAAATTACTTTAAATTAAAATGTGCCTTTAGTTCCATATTTAACAATACTTTTCAATCAAATTTTGATGTAGGAAAATGATGGCTCCAAAAACAGTTATTTCCTTTAACATGCAAATGTGACACTTTAAAGATTTATAAACAGAAAGCAAGATACCTCAGTAATAGGGCCTTCTCTAGTACCTCGGAGAAGACTCATTTCATCAGAAGTTAGCTGGAACTTTGCTAGGAAGGCATCTGCAACTTGTGCTCTGATTTCTAACCTTTGACTACAATGAGAAAAAAGCAATCAAAATCATGCCTGCTATGCACCCATTCAGTGTTAAAACAAATTATACCTCCAACATACTAACTTTTCAAATCAAAGGTTGAAAAATTTTCAACATCTTGGAAAATCTCATTACCACCTCAAATATTAGAAACTTATCAGACATGTAGGTGATAAAATTAGCTGAGAATGCTCTAACTACAATACTTGCACTCAGATAAATTAATCATTCTACAAAAGAAGAGTCATGTTCAAAAAGCGTTCCTGCACTATATATTCTCAACCATACATACATACATATATATATATATATATACTTGAATAGTTCACCTTAAAGTAACAGTTATCTGCATATATCTACTTATATGAGAATTTTTCAAGGCATTAATACAGTACAGCAAAGTAAATGTGCTTTCTCTTCCTTATGATTTTGCCAACATTTTCTTCTCTAGCTTACTTACTATATAAGAATATAGCATACAAAATATGTGTTGACTATATTAGTACTGGTACAGCTTCTGGTCTACAGCAGGTTTAAGTTTTAGAGAAGTCAAACATTATACATGAATTTTCAATGTGCAGGGGTTGGTGTCCCTAACCCCTATTGTCTTCAAGGATCAAGAGTACACAATACAAAAATTCATGTCTATTGTTTATTTTTAGGTTAAAAATAGAAGTCAAAAACTCCTATACTAGTCCATGAATGTTCCTTCTCCATTTCTGTCTCTTCCACCTTTCTGCATGTTGTGGTCACTAAAAAAAAATTTCTCCTAATATATTGTATGACAGTGGCCCACCTGACTAATTGACAGCTAGGAAAGGGCACAATGGCCTGGAATGCATGCTGCCAGAACCACTGAGCAGGATCACCACCTCAAGCCCACATCAGGAACTGAGCAGAAACACAACATTCTCGCTTCTAGATCTTAGATTTGAAACTATACAAATAAAATTTCAAGTGTTTTCACTTAGTAGGTTCAAGAGTAATAATATTCTACAATCTAACAATATTCAAAGGAAAGTAAGCAAAGATAAGCATTAACACTATTTGTACAGATAGCCTAGTGTGCCTGTCTCTCGTTTGTCTAAGAGGTATGTGAGGCTCTAAATCCACACAGTCAAATGTTCCTGGTGAAAAATAGAGAAACTTATAAACAAAAAGTCCTCCAGGTGGCAGTAAAATTCTGACTCTCTCAAATGACAAAATATATCACTTAATCAAATCTATTCAGCTAAATGACAAGTGTCCTTAATTTTCTTATTACTGACACAAAAGTTATAATAGGCTTTGTTGTGTACTCTGAGTTTAGTAAAGCTCCAACAGTTATGTAGAATTTTAAATAATTATAAAAGTCTTTAAGACAATATAAATTAATCATTTCAACTAATGTATTTTTTGAGCTTCTTTTTGATCTATTTTTAAAATCAATATATTAGGCACAAATAAAATTAGTCTCAACAGTTTCATTTGGTTTTCACCAAACAATATTACAATAGTATTACTTATATTTGTCATACCCTTTGTCTTTAAGAGTCATTCCAAATAACAAGGTTGACAGTATTTAAAAGTAAATCCATGAAATAAAGACTTCAAAGCAATCTGTGTTAAAAAAAGATTGAGTCCAAAAATTTTTGACAATGGCCACAACTGCTAAAACAAAGGCTTGATATCTCAACATGACACCTCTTAGTGATGAAATAAATTCTAGTATATTTTTAAAATCACATTACTTTTTATCATATACATTTTTCCCAAGAAAATTTTCACATCCAGTCTGGCAGAAAGCTAGAAGTGTCACAGAATGACATTAACAAGGACCTACAATATCTAAGGCCCAAGTCAGAGCCTAGTGCAATAAACAGTGTATCTCATACAGATCTTGTTCTCACCTGACAATACCATTGAAATATGCTATCTTTTAGAGGGTTTTAAATCTAAATAAAAATTAGATAAAATAAATGTTAAAAAACATAAATGGTTATTATAAATTATAACTTCTAAGTATTTGAGATGTGTTCATGTTATTAGATTTTTATTTGTTAAATAGAGCACATACACAGCATAATTCGAGCAGGGAAGGAATATGAGGATGATCATCATGTTTAGGATATACATGAGCTATAAGTATACTAACAAAATGCTCTAGAAGATACAGGTAAAAAGTTGTAGAGGGCCCTCCCTGGTGGTGCAGCAGGTTAAAACACAGCACTAAGAAGTTAAAGTCACTTCAACATGAGTTCAATCCCAGCCCCAGAGGTGATCCACATGGCCTGCCAGACCATGACCCGCCCACTGTTACCCTTGGCAGTGTATTTCAGTAGATCTGCCTGTTCTGCTCCCCACTCTGTCTCTGGTGAATCCTCTCACTGTCCCTGCACCTCTGACCTCTACCCCAGTTTTGTATGAATAAATAAATCTTCAAAAAAAAAAAAAAGTTGTAGGAATAAATGTATAGTAACTCCCATTTATTAAAAAAAAAAGGTACATACTGAATTTTCAGGTTGACAAGGACATACTAAAATAGACTTTCTCATATACTGCTGATGGAAATGTAAACTAGTATAACCTTTTTGGAAAGAAATCTAGACAATATTTACCAGAATATTTTTTAGAGTTTCTACCATTTCATTCATCTACTAGAACTATTTTCCTATGGAAATAATCTGAAATACCCATAATGATTTAAAAAACATTTATCAGACCATTATTTTTCATAATGAAAATATGAAAATGCATAATTTAAGAATATTTAAAGATAGGTTAATACACAAGAAAAGATATAATGTCAACTATTATGGAACATCACACTCCAACTAAAGACAGAAAACACATAAAAGTTAAGGAAAAAATAACTTTGTGTACATACTCTAGGAAGAAAACACACCAAAATGTTAACAGAAATTATGTCTATGTGGTGAAGTTATATCTGACTTTTCTTTATTTAAATGTCAAACACATAAATGAGGAAGGAAGGAAAAATAAAGAAGATATGACACTCTCCTGTCTTATCCTAAAATTTTATTAGACAAAGAACATATATCACATAATGCTTCTGTGATGTTTAAAAAAAATCTGTTTAAATATGTTTAAAAATTTGATTTTTGTGCGCCCAACTTTAAAACCTGCATTAAAGTAGTTTAACACAAATAACACAATTAAAATTTAAAATACTGAGAAACAAACCGAAAAGATGAGAAATGAATGTAACTGAGGAAAGCTATTACAATTAATAACACAAAATAGCCTAAGCTTCCTGTCACCAAAATCAACAAAGAAATTAGATGCTCTTTTTCTAACAAAAGGGGAAAAGGATGGGGTGGTAAAATTTCTTGAGGTCAAGTTGACAACAGGAAATTGATGTTCTGCACCTTATGCACTGAATGCTTACAACAACCCTGTGACATAGATACAATTCCCTTCTTTCTAAATGTGGAAATTTAAGCTGGAGAGATTAAAAAATAATATGTACAAAATTAAAAATCCAATGCAATCTTACCCAAGATTTAAATAACAATTAGGGATTTGGTCTTCTAAGTCTACATCCTTTATACTTTCAACATCCTACTTCAAAAAGAAACATAAACATTCACCAGAAACTATTTTCCAAGTTCAGACAAAAATTTGACTTTGTGGGCTTTTAAAAGAGCTAATAAAATATGTCATGAGTAGTGACTTCAGTAGACTTAAAATCATGGAAGTATATTCAAGTCTCTGGTGAATCCTCTCACTGTCCCTGCACCTGTGACCTCTACCCCAGTTTTGTATGAATAAATAAATCTTCAATCATTATTGAAACTCATTATTGAAACTCATCTCCTATCAGTTAAACATCAGGGGACATGCTAAGTTGCAGTTATGTGGAGACAAGTCTACACTGAGCTTTTCCTATTACAGTTATCACAGTGACTGACCTCTTCTAACCCAGTTGGAAAAATATTTAAGTTATCAATCCAATTGTCTGAATAAGAATATCATATTATCCAAACAAGCCCAGAACACTTTTACCTCTAAAGCTAATTCCTTATTTAACAGTTTCTTCTTAAAAAGAAAAGGTATTATATTTCAAAATGGAAAACAACTCTCTGTCATCTTCTAGAGCCCGTCATCATAATTTCTGCTACATAATTTTCCTAAAATACCTTCACACAAATGTTCACTTGGCACACTATATAGACAGCTCTTGAGATGCTAGAATGTCAGAAGTTTACACTTCCCAAAACAAACCAGGCCAAAATACTTTCATATGTTTACTAAAATAATGAATATAAACAACACTGTTTAAATAGTTTTGAGAATATATTTATTGAGACAATGTTGTGATACTGCCCCCTATATAGATATTAATTAGGGACTCATATACAAGCCCCAACTCAATGTTTATTTTTCAACTTTTATTTATGTTTCTTTTTTTGATATTAGGATAGTAGCATTCTATTGATTCATTCTAAATCATATATTAAGATATTTATTGAATCTATAGTGTGTTATGTATGCACTTACTAAAAATCATAAAACATCTAGATTTTTTTAAGCAATAATTTTTAATTTCACAGCCAACAGTAAGAAATATTTCAAACACTCCAAAGAGTGAATTTTCTCTTACCCCCAATTTCTCAACTCCTAAACTATTACTTTAAGTTATTTTACTCTTGGATAATAACTTAGAATTTTATATGTTGTACAAATTTAGAATCATGCTTATTAATGTGCTTTGCCTTTAATTTGGCCAAGTTCTCTTTACATCTAATTTCCAAATTAATGAAGAGGTGACATAAGAAAAACTAACCTTTCAGCTTGAAGTTTAGTGGTTTTTACTATCAAATCTTGAGTCTGTTCCTTTGCAGCCTGAAATGATAAACATATGTAATATCAGTGCATTTCACTTACTAGAATTCACTCTTCTAGCAAATGAATATCATATTCTGACACTTAACAGTTTAGTAGAGGTCAAATATTGAAATAGATGATTCAAAGCTCATATACTACCTTTAATAAGAGAAACTGTCAAGAATTCTTAATACACACATAATGCTAATGATTACAATAAAGAAAATATCAGGTACTGGGTAGAGTATTTAAAATAGTCCATGGTGCTTTTTAGTGAAACAAAATCATTGGAAGTTAAGGCTGACTTGAATTATAGGCATGTTTAGTTATCATGAGACCTCTCACAGAGTTGTAAGTCACTGAAAGGCTGGTGTGAAACTCAATAGAAATGTCCAGATGGAGGCAAACACTGAAAGTTATAAAATAAGGTTTTGGTGTTGATTAGAGATAGCCCGGTCCAATGGACAAAAGGCTGACCAAGTTTCATACTAACCAATCTTCACTTCCCCAAATCAGAGCTGAAAGTACCAGAAATGAAAACTTGACAAATAGGTATTCTATCCAAAGACTAGACAAGTATTTATAAAGTGGACTGAAACAAGATTAATGTATTCAAGACCTGAACTGAGGAACACATCAAAAATAAGGCAGTAACAATGAAACCACAATGGCTCTACACTGTTCATAGCACTGAAAGGAGAAATAAGCAGTTGTGAGGTGCATACACACAAAGGTTCCATGCCTTGAAGAGATATTGACTGAGCCTGAGTTGGGTATAAAGAAGACCATTAGAATGCAGAAATTATCAAGTGGAGAGTCGGTCTGGTAATGAGAGGATACCAGTACAAACACATGAAGATACTGGGTGACTCACACTGAATATTATAATACAGAGCCTCTAGGTTATTAAAGACTGAGTTCTCCTACACACTCTAGATTGTCAACTGAACTTGACATTCTGTCTTAATGATTCATAAGCAACCTACAAATAGCAAAGCCTCACTGCCATTCAAGTGAAGGTATTTTAGTCTGTGTTTCCTGCAACTAAATAATTTGACTAGCAAACAGTGGCTTTTTAAGAAAACAGATTTGAGCCAAGATAATTCAGATCACAAACTTTTAAGGAAGGGAGCTCTTCATGATGGTTCCCACAGTACTTTCTAAAACGGTTATTCTTTAAATCCAGTATATGGATTTAAAAGCATAGCTTTCCTAATGCCATTTTGTTTTAAAGTTCCACTTTCCAAACTTATTCTTTCCTTGCAAAAATTTTTAAAATGTTTCTCCTCAATTTTAAAATAGAAAAATTATATCTTAATATTTGTGAAAAATGTTTCCCAAAATCATCATGAAAAAGTTCTTAGTAGAATTTTAGTCAGTCATTATTAAATTAAAGGTATATCTCACAAACAACTATACCTATCAATCAATGAAATAATTTAGAGCAATGTTACACAGTAAATTTTTACATACATATTCTACCCATTTTCCCTGTGGGAACCACCATGAAGACCTTCCTTCCTTAGAAGTTAGTCATCTGAATTATTTTGGTTCAAACCTGTTTTCTTAAATACCTACTATTTGTGCTAGTCAAATAATTTAGTTGCAAGGAACCCAGACTAAAATATCTTCATTTATATATGTCACGGTAATGATTCCAAATGAGATTTAATAACATTAGCAAAAATTATTATCCTCAAACAATTTCTAGTCATATTATCTTAAATATTAAGGGTGATTATTTTTCATTAAATATCTTTAAATGTAGTTTAATAAAGCAAGCCAAAGTGATAAAACACAGCATACAAAGTTGTTGATTAAACTTTTATATGTTTTCATAATAATTTCTAAAATATTGCCAGCACAAGGCATTTTAGGAATCTTAATTAAACTTGTCCTTATAATATCCTATAATAAAAAAAGGTATGGTAGAGGGTACCACTGTAAGAAATATTTTTCTTTATGACTGAATAAACTGAAAACATTATTCTAGAGTTAAAGCATAAGTAGCTTCTACTACGATTCCAGTAACACTTACATGCAAGTAAATTAGTGCCAAGAGACAAGATTTTCATAATCACAGATCTAATCCTTACTGATCAAAGAATCAAAATGAATATAAATATTAGAGAGTAAAAGTTAATTTAAAATAATAATTTAAAAAGCTATGAGGGATTTCTTTGCAAGTGATGAAAATGTTCTATGATATACCTTAGAACATTATTGGTGGTTATTTCACAATCACAAGTATATAAAACTGTCAAAATGCATCAATTTATATGATTCAAATAGATGCAGTTTATTATTATGCATAAATTATTCCTTAATAAATATGAAAAAAGGCCCATGTCATTACAGGAAAATAATACACTCAGGGAAGAAGGAGTTATATAATGACAAAATGAAACAGACTGAAAATACTTAATAAGTTGCTAGCATGAAGAATAAAAGCACTGTGATTTTTTTTATACTTAAAGATAATGAATAGGAATATAATGAGAGTTAAAAAATAAGAGGTACCTGAGTAATCCAATATATATATATAAAATATTACAAAATAAATGTGAGTATAATATAGAAAAATCTAATAGTGTGTAGTTTGAGAAAAGACATTAAATCAAAGAAACTAAACGATGAGAAAAGGAAGTAAAAAAGTTAAAAAATTGTCAATCACTAAGCAATAAAAATAATGTTTATAAAATACTGTGAAACTGCAATAATAATTAGCAAAAATTACATGATTATTTAAGTATTATAAAATTAACAGGGATATTAAGATTTTCAAATGAATATACCAATAATGTTTGATAATAAGAATACAAAAATTTAGACAAGACTTGAAAAGGCAAAATTTTAGAGAAACAGGAAATTGATTAGTTCTACTGAGAAACCAGCCAGTAGCCAATGGTGAGGAATGTGGAATGTGCATGATTAATAATTCTCCATAGAATTACTGTAGCTGTCAAGAGTTTCAGGAGAATCTTAGAGCCACAGTTTGAAATAAAAATGTGAAGGTAGTAGACATAATTATAGCTGACTCTTAGGAAGAAATTATTCGATTCATTATTCAAAATTACATGAAAGAAGGTAATTAAGTGAAAAATTAATTCTATGGCCAAACTGGGGGTTCAAAACTCTTTGTTGAGTATGAATCATAATGAAGTTGCGCTTTATCAGGCATAGCTTTCAGTTTGGACTTATTCCTAAGGTTTCCCACTAAAGAATTCATTTCTGCCGTATTAATGTGATAGTACAGAATTGAAAGGTTTATAAAAATTCTACACAGCTAGCTCTGTACTGGCTAACTCAAAATAGAAAGGTTTCTGGAGTTAACTAAGCAATATTATTAAACTATCATACAAAGAAACACAGAGATTTTAAGTTAAAAAAAAAAATCAGCGTATTTATATTTAAGCTTCCTACAGGGCATATTAGATAACTATACATTTTGTACAATTACCTAACAATTTTTTAATGCTTCCATTATGCTAAAACCCAGCCATCAATCAGTACCTGGAGGCGATTTGTCATATCTTGACAACAACTGCTCATTGCTTGAACATCCTCATTTATACTTTCAAGCTCCTAAAAAAGAGAACAGTAAATTGAGTACTATATGTTTCTCTTTTATTAACCAAATCCTTACTTTTATTCCACAAAAAGTTTTGCCAAAGCATGACAAAGATCTGGTAAGGCTAGAACTAACTGAAATGAGTAACTTCTAATACTAGAAAAGATTTAAAAATAAAACAAAACCCAGTGTATTCTTTTTAGAGGGTATGACAATAGGAAAACAGCAATGTTTTTAAAATGAGTAATTTTTATTTAGGGATTCTAGCATGAAAATTTCATCCTAACAAGCTAATCCATGGAATTAATCCAAAATATCTATGGATATACTGAGGATATGTGTATGTGTATTTATGTGTATGTGTGTTTACTGGTATGGGAAGATACTATATAAAGTTTAAAAAAGGGTTATGACAATGCAAGTAATGTCTTCCCATTTTTAAGAAAAATAAAATGTGTGTGTGTGTACATGTATACCTGCACACAGAACATAAAGAAGGCCATACAACAAAATACTGACAATTCTGGGTGACAGAATCACAACAGTTCTATTTCTGCTTTTATTTTTTAAATCTTTTCTAATGAATTATTTAACTTTCAATGAATAAAAACAAATTTGATAGCTTAACAGACAGTATTGCTTCCTCCTCTCTCGTCATCTACATATTAGAACATACCCAAATTGGTAACTTTCTCAGTAATGTTCTTTCCCTGTCATCTTCAGTATCCTCCATATATCTATGTATTTAATTAATGCATACATCTTATCTATTTCATTTTTGCTACCCAAACAGCTTAGACTTCAGTTCAGGTTAACTGTTAGTTCTGCGTGTATTCTAACAGGTCTCCCTGACTCTACCTTTTTTTACTAAACTTACATCCTCTATCTTTTACTGAACCAATCTCTTAACTATGAAAAAACATCAAAATATCATATTTAGTTTCATACTGTACTATCATCTCCCTTTTCCCAATTCAGGGTTATACCACAAAAAAATGTGATGTAGCAAAGTTTCAGGAGTGGACAAGATCTAACTGTAGTCACTTTCAGCATAAAACTTAAGACTTTCAAGCAGAACATGACACTTTTATGAAGGGGGAGGCCAAACAGAGGGCAAGGGATTTAAAAAAAAAAGCTGAGCAGGACTGTACACAAAATGTGAGGATTAAGCAGTTAGAAAATCACTTATAACAACATCAGCATAAATTTTAGTTCTAGAATTAAGGTATTTTTTTCTTCTCTACTTTGAATTATAAAAAATCATAGCACCAGATATTTTCTCTACATTTTACTAGAAAGGGATACAAATCAAATTATTAAACTAAATCCTACTGTAGATGAATAGTATTTATAAGCTTGCTTTCAAAGTATCAATATCAACAATAGCAAATACACAAGCAACTTAACCTCACCATTCCTTTAAATCTCAGTATAATCAGAACCGCACTATGATATAGTCTGCCAGCTAAGACAACAATAATTTCTACTAATAGTTACAACAGCATAATAAACCTAATTTGATTTGTGAAATAACAGAAATTAACATTTCTTATTATATATGCACAATGGCAATTCAGGGACCTTTCCATAGTTTGTAAAATGTTTATTTGAATATGGAGTAAGCCATTTTTCCCAAGTAAAATCATAGGTGTAGAATACAATAAAATGTTAACTTAAAAAAATTATAGAAAATTTTCAAAACATATCCAAAAGTTGAGTTAATAAGAATGTCTATCTATAAATATTCAACTTCAACAATGAACTCATGATCAATCTTTCTCTTAATTTTAATATCTAGTTGGTGTTGAAGTGTCCTCTTTTTTTTTTTCTTTACTAATTTGTTCAAGTTGGGAACTGAATAAGATTTACAAACAGAAATTGCTTGGTACTTTTCATATTTTTTTTATCTATAGATGCTCACATATGCCTATTTCTCTTTATCTTTACAGCTCAGTTGCTTTACATTTCCCAACATTCAGATTTTGCTCACTGCATTTTTATGTCTGGGATTAATAAAAGACTCAATTTATAGTTACTATAAATGGCAGTTAGATCTAGAAGTTTAATTATACTGATTCAATTTTCTGGCAAAAATTCTTCCTATGTGGTGTTGTATACTTATGAAACACAAACATGGCTGCTTCTCTTTTTGTGAGACAAGGAGCTAGTGATGACAAATTGCTAAATTAGTAGTGTTCAACCAGAGCAAGCTGACCCCAAAGGGGGTGTTTGGCAAAGTCTGGAGATCTTTTTGGTTGGAACAAGGTGTGACTGATTTTTAACGGACAGAGGCCTAAAATGATGCTGAACATCCTTATAGCAGAAGACAACACTCAACAAATACCTGACCATCAATAACAAACTTGCTAATGTTGAGAAATCCTGAATAATAAATAAATCCCACAGATTTCATAAAATATACTATAATTTCTTCTTCATTGATTAGGTAGACTATTTCCATAAAGAGGTTAGTCTTAACAACAATATGTAGTTGATACAAAACATTAAGATAAATACTCAACTCTTTCCTTTTGTTCGGGTGTCAAAATAAGTTGGTTCCTTTACATCCACCAATGACTTGGATATTAACTTAAAATCAGGGAAGATACTTTATGGTTTTCAGTATAATTAAATTCATGGACTTAAAGCATCTTTGAGGTGTTTCAGTTCATAGTTATTCTTATTGATTATTGATGCTCAACTCATCCTAATTTTTGCCCAGTAGAGGCCACTCCAAGTTAGCTCCAGAGTCCTTCTGATACTTTCCCAACAGTCTTGTGTGTATGTGTATCTTGCTTTCTAAAATTGACAAGATTGTCAGTCGGAAATGGTGTTGAAAGACCCCAATATGGGTACTACTACTATCTCTTTCTATTTTTGTGAAAACCATCAATCTTCCCTTCAATCTCCCAACTGCTAGCCTTCAGTCAATGAAATCGTAGTCATTCAAACTACTGCTTTATTAAGTATTCACTGAAACCATACACAACATTTCTACACAGCTTACACAGCAATTTAACTATGTAATATTATTTATAGTAGCATATTAACAAAGTATTACATAACTAAATATAACACAATAAATTTCATTTATCCTATGATGAATATTTTTTCATTCAAGTACACTCACTTTATGCATTAAAGTAACTGATCTCAGTTAATCTGAAAATTTTATAATTTAGGTATAGCAAAGTAACTCAATCTTAGTTAATTTCTAGTGGAGAAGTGGGCATCCAAGGAAGCTTTATTCCATGAAGGGCTATTTCTATTTAACAACCATTCAGTGAAATATATTGGCTTCTTTTTGTTGTTGTTAAAAAGCTAAAATTCAGCCCTCCTTGGTGGCACAGGGGGTTAAAGCACAGCACTAAGAAGCTAAAGCCACTTCAGCATGAGATCAATCCTGCCCTGGAGGTGATCCGCATGACATGGCAGACCTCTCCTGACCTGCCCACACCTCCCCTCAGCAGGGTACTTAGTGATCTGCCTGTTCTGCTCCCCACTCTGTCTCTGGTGAATCCCTTCACTGCCCCTGTGCCTTTGGTCTATACCCCAGTCCTGTATGCATAAATAAATAAATCTTTAAAAAAAAAAAAAAACCTTAAATTTCTAAAGGAAATGCCTGAAACAAATGTTAACAAACTTCTAAAAGGCAGCATTAGTGGGAGTCACAGATTCAGAAATTATATAAATTTAAAACAGACTGAGATGCTTCTGCATTAAGTAAATTTTCAATTTCTATTCATAAAAGCACTTAACACAGAGCCAGGCACACAGTAAACTCATTTTAATAGTAAAGGATAATGAAAAGAATTTACATACTTCCTTCACCTCCTTGAAAATGCTTACAAAATCTTCATTGATGGCTAAACTTCGGCGTTCGATATCGCCACGTAAATTTCTTCGAGTGCGCAAACTATTCTCAACAAAAAAGGTTGAAAGTGCCTTGAGAGCTTCCAACATCTCCTATTCAATTGATAAAAGAAAATCACTGGCATCAATTTTCAAATATTTCACCAAAATTTAATGACATCATTTTCAGATCTATTTTTTCCTTTAAATAATCAGAAAATTATTGAAGACCCTCACATTATTGAACAGTATGCCTATTTCCAAAACACAGCAGGGATATACTTACTTGTATTACATATATATGTGTTATACACACAAGACTATTTTCTATAGAATAGGCTAGTACTGCAAAGACTGGAAATAAATGTCCATCTAAAGATAACTAATTAAAGAAATTATGCTAGATTCATTTTTTAAAAGTGGAAATTCTTTACATGTTTAGATAATATGAAATTTAAGACACAGTAAAATAGCAAGGTATAGAAATACCTACAGCACCAACTGTTATAAAAAGGACTGTACAAAGTATTTTTACTAGCATGTACAATGCTATTACAAGCATTTTAATACATAAAATATCTCTGGAAATCCTTCAAGAAATGAGAATACAAGAAATGAGTATTCAGCTTCCAGGCAAAGAACTGAATAGAACTAGAAGCAGAAATTTTAGGAATTCTAAGGTGACTTCTGAACTTTGTCTGAGTGGGAGGAAAGAAGACTCCATCAGAGCAACACTTTTTAGAGAAAGGGAAACAGCCAGTACAAACCCTAACACAGCCAATGTCTAGTGTGACTGAAGCTACATATAAACAAGTGGAAGTTTTAAGCAAAGGAGTAAAACACCACATTTTGTAGGTTAGCTTATTCTAACTTTGTGAAAAGAATGGTTGGCAGAAGGGAACAGAAAAGAAGCATGTAAGGGGAAATTAAAATAATCCAGCAACATTTGACAATGGCCTTGATCAAGATGGTAGAACTACAGATAAAGAGCTATTCCAAAAAGAAAATGTTTTACGGTAGAGCCTACAGAATTTGATTGGATGTACAGTGTTTAAAAAAATATACATCTTGCTTCCCTGGTGTAAATGTGATGTTCTTTATTAATACTAAAGAAAAATCAAATGTTCTGGTCATGAGAAGTTTTATGATGTCTATATAGAGGTATCACACAGGCTATTGATTGTACAAATGTGGATCTTAACAGATGTCAGAACAAAGTTATATACTTGAAAATCCTATTTTCTGTGTAAAACCATGAAAACAAGTGAATCCTCCTGCAAAGAGAAAAGGAGTAGAAGAGAGCAGAGGACCAAGCCTAAGACAACCAAAAGTACCCTACATCCTACCATTATAAATCGCTATACCTAAACTAACAAATAATTCTAACAGTCTTGTCCTTTTTATGTCCCTTCAACAATGTTATCCTGAAATATTGCCTGGATTGAGGAAAACAGTAAAGTTATTTAAATGCAATTTAAAATTTAGGATAAAGCAAATATGTCTTTAGAACTATAAATATTTATTGTACAAAAAATAAAAATAAAGCCATATCTTTTTGACTATAGCCTTGAAATGTGCTGGGATCTGGCTTACAGGAGTAGTCAGTAAATGCTGAAATCACACACTCAGATGCAAATTAACTCAGGAGTTACTAGTTTATGATTTAACCTAGTTACACTCTCTCCATCCCTTACTTTTCTCACAGGTAATAACTTCTCAATTTACCATTGCATTCAATGAGATAACAAATGTCAATATTAGTCACATTAAACACTTAATAAATTGTACGATAAGACTACATTCACTAAAAACAGTAACTACCAAGCCCTGTACCGAGCACTTCACCTGGATTCTCTCATTAAATCCTCACAACAATCTTAGGGAAGTTACTAAGCCTGGTCCCAATTTAGAAGCGATGAAGATTAAACTTATTAAATGACTTAAATCATAATGTACCAGTATGATGGCTATTTATAATAAGTGGTGGTCCCAGAACCTATCTTTCTCCTGTTATAATGCTATGTTTATACACAAAGTCTCACTAACAGCTTATTTTCAGTTACCTGCAAATTTAACTGTCAAGTTGTCATTTTCGAATGTATGTCTTTATGCTATATTGCCATGACCAATTTACCTAGTGACCCGGTAATGCAGAGGTAATGCAAGACCCGGTAATACAGGAACTGTAGAGATCAAGCTAAGTTTCAGGTGGTACTTGAGAAAGGATATGCACAGTTTATCTCCTCAAGAAATACAGCTCAGCCCCCAAATCGTAGACAGTGCTCACCTAATAACAAAAACTAATAGCCATCATTTCATTTAGTCACGAGCAGGTAGATACTCTTGCGCTCCAAATATTCTTTGTTGATTTCACTTGTCAATGGAAATGGTCAATTACGCCCACCCCAGTTCACCTGTTCCTCCTCACGCCGATTCGCGCCGCCCTCTTCTGCAGTGCTCTTTTGCGCCAGTTCTCTCTCATCCCACCCCGACCTTACCTCTCCCGTGTCCCCAGCACAGAATGCCAAACACGTCGGGCGGTGGGGGTTCCACCGTTTGTTCCCGGATCCACAGACTTTCAAGAGCCTTAGAGCTAGCACCCAGGAAAACTCGTCGCTTTCCCATGGGTTGCAAGGTGTCCCCCTCACCAGCGCAGGCAGAACAGCGGATCCTGCGGGTCTGGGGTCCCATTCACTGCAGCGCCGAGGGCTTTGGTACCCCGCGCCCCACAAATGCGGCCCCTAGTCCGGCCAAAGCCCGAGACGACGTGGGAACTCCGGCTCCTACCAACCGCGGTTACCTTGTCGTTGTCCAGCCGCGTTTCCAAGATCTTATGCAGCTTCCGCGACAGCGGGTTGTTGGTCTGCGCCGAGGTCCCTCCAGCCCCATTGTTTTGGCTGTTGGCAGCCCCGCTCGGCGGCACTGTGACTACTTGCCCGCTGCCCTCAGCCATAGCGCCGCTCGCCCCGCCTCCGGCTTCAAAGCCGCCACCTCAACCCTAGACGAAGAGCGCCGGCACCGCGAGAACTGCGCATGTGCATAAGAAGTCGCGCGTGCGCCCTGGTCCTCTGAAGACACGCCCCTCGGCCAGACTCCAGGAAGCGGGAGGAGGAGCCAGACTCAGGCTGGTGGGAGGAGACTAAAGCAAGAATGTGCTATCTGTTTTGAAATTCCAGTCACTTTTAGAGCTTGGAGACTAAGGTTTATAGAATTTCAAGGACTTTCGAAATCATGAATGTATGAAAGCGTGAGTTAAGCATAAATAAAATAAACTGAGTCCTGCTTCTGACATACACGTTCAGTCAAAGGCTAATAAAATTCACTTTATCAAATGTACGCTTTTGGAAAATATTGATTGCAGGCTTGCTATGTGCCAGGTACTCTAGCAGGCATTGAGAGATCTGTGTAACATATCTGAGACAAGGGTTAATCAGTGTTCTTGGGAGAAAATGAAAAAAAGGGGGTGAGAATAAGGAAGAGAACTGCCTATTGCACCCAGTGTGGAAGGAGTTGCCATTTACCCAACCTTGGGGAAAAATCTTTTTCAGGTTGTTCAAACTACAAGTGTGAAGGGTAACAAGGCCGAATTTAACTATTCCACAAATTGTCCAAAGTCAGTATAGCTACAGAGTAACTCAAGATGAAAAATGAATTCCCAGGAAAGGCTGAATGACAGATTTTGTATTTTTTTTTTTCTCTTCTCGTTTTTTCTTTCTCTTCTCCCTAGTGGCACAAAGGTTAAAGCACAGCACTATGAAGCTATCTGCAGCCACTGCAGCATAGAGTTCCATTCCCTGCCAGGGAGGTGACCCATTTGGTGTGGCAGACCTCTCCTGACCCACCTACTGTTTCCTCTCAGCAGTGTATTTTAGTAGATGCAGCTGTTCTGTTCTCCGCTGTCTCTGGTGAGTCCTCTCACCCCCTGTGCCTCTGGCTTGTACTCCAGTTACTTGTATTTGTATGCATAAAATAAATAAATCTTTAAAAAAAAAAATTCCTTACAAAAAAATTCATCCCTACGGTGATAAGCAAAGACTAGCAAAAAAAAAAAAACCTCAAAAGACACAACATCCAAGTATGAATTTAGTAAGTGCTAGTGAGGAAACAAGACTTAAATAAAACGACACATTGCACTCAGCAAGAACATTCAAGTTGGTAAAGATACCATTTCTCTTTAACATATTAAACTGGAAAATGTCAGACTGACCTGTTGATTAGCTGAAGTTGGGACATAGCCTACAGACTCAAAAGTTTCAGGGATCGCTCATAAGCATCCTCAAGGCCACATGCACCTAAACTCATGCATTCCCAGATGACTGGACCCCTTGCTTTAGTCATTAAATGCTATGTAACCTGGTTGCTTGGGGCTCAGTCTTTGGAGAACCATCTCTTTGGGCCCACTGGTGTAAAGCCTGCCAATGTCAAAAAAAAGAACTTCCCTCTTCCTCTCTGAGTGATGCCTTCTTCCCTGATGGAATTCTGCTGTAGCAAATTCACATATTGTATGATTTTATTTATATGTAATTTCCAGAAAAGGAAAATCTACAGAAATGGAAAATAAACTATTGATTATGGGGGGAGGGTGTTGGGAAAAAAGAATGGGAAGAAATAGTTCCTGGTGAGTTTTGTTTTGGATAGTGAACATGTTCGAAACCTAGATTGTGGTGATGGTAGCATATCTCTGTAAATAATCAAAGAACCATTGAACTGTACATTTCTAATTATATAGTAAATAAATTACATCTCAAAGTTGTTTTTAAAAAGTGAGGAAAAGGCCCTCCCTGGTGGCGCAGCGGGTTAAAGCACAGCACAAAGAAGCTTAAGCCACTTCAGCATGAGTTCAATCCCCACCTGCACTGGAGGAGATCCACATGGCGTGGCAGACCTCTCCTGACCCGCCCGCTGCTCCCCTCAACAGTGTACTTTGTAGATCTGCCTGTTCTGCTCCCCATTCTGTCCCTGGTGAATCCTCTCACCCTCCACATCTCTGGCCTGTACCCCAGTTCTGTATGAATAAATAAATAAATCTTCAAAAAAAAAAAGGGAGGAAAAAAATGAATGTTGGAAAATATTTTTCTTTACTCTGGAGATGATCTTTTCATTTTTTAAATGGGGACCTTTGAAGTACAAATTATTTTAATGTAGTAAAGTTCAAGCTTCTTTGTTATTTGTACTTTTGGTACAATATTTCAGAAATTATTGCTTAACCCAAAATTATGAATAATTAATTATCCCTGTGTTTTTCTCCTAAGATTCTTCTAGTTTTTGCATTTATACTTAAATTTATGACCCACTTAGAGTTAATATGTGGAAATGGCATTAATAGGGATCCAGTTTTATTGTATTTTGAATATAACTATCTAGTTGACCTTAGCACTATTTGTTGAAAAGACAGATCTTTTTCTTCATATGAACTTTTCAATAGATGCAGGAAAAACTTACCCTCATTCCTGATAAAACAAACTTCTAGCAATTAGCACAAGACACTATTTGGAGTAAGAGGCTATCTACAGCAAACATTACATGTGATGTCATATTTAAAATTCTTCCTCTATAACCGGGAATAAAACAAGGACACCCATTACATCTTTTCATTACCGTCCTGGAGATTACATCTCAAATAATAAAGCAGGAAAAAGATAAACTCACAGACTAGAGAGAACAGACAATACACACATTATTTCTAGGTAACATCAATGAATATATGAATATCTAAAATAACATACAGAATAATTAGAATTAATAATAACTTTTATCAAAACCACAAAAGGAACAAAAAGTTTGGATTCAGCTGGTTTGCAGGAAAGGCTATATGACTGTTTAGTGCCTACTTGCAAATATGGTTTGCTATATAGCAGAATTTGGTTACAAATGGGTCATTAGTTTCCACTGCAGGGCCTGTAGAGGTTTTTAAAAATTCAACGTTTAAAAGGTATAGAAAGAGGGCAATGCCTGGAGGCACAGCAGGTTAAAGCGCAGCACTGCAAAAGCTACCTGCAGCCACTTCAGTGAGAGTTCAATCCCTGTGGCCCCAGTCCCTCCCAGCCACCCCATTGCCCCAGAGGTGACCCACATGGTGCAGCAGACCTCTCCTGACCCACCCACTGCTCCCCTCAGCAGTGTGCTTGTCAGTCAGCCTGTTCTGTTCCCTACTCTGTCTCTGGTGAATCCTCTCACTGTTCCTGCACTTCTGACCTGTACCCCAGTTCTGTATGAATAAATAAATAAATCTTAAACAACAAAAAAAAGAAGGTATATATAGAGAGATATCATCTCAGTTGATTTTTTAAATTTATCTTTTATTTAACTTTTAAAGGAATTTTTTATTCCAATGATAAATTATTCTAAGCCAGGATTTTTTTGACCTTGACATTATTGCCAATTGGGAGTGGATAATTTTTGTTGGGGGAGACTGTCCTGCTTATTGCAGCATGCGTGACAAATATTGGTCCTCTACTACACTGACATGATTAGCACCCTCCTAGGTTGGGACAATGAAAAATGCTTGCATGTCACTGAAGAACAAAATCCTTCCAGTTGAGAACCTCTTTTCTAAGTCATGAGTACGTTAATTATATAATGCTGCTTAACAAATTACCCCAAAACCTGCTATTTTAAAAAAAGGATCATCACAGTTGTATTGGTTTATAACTGTATGTAGGTATACAGCACTATAGCTGACATCTGGATAAGCAGCATATGATCTCTACCAAAAGTCTAGTTTCCACAATAGAGAGTACAACAGACTCTTTTTGCTTGATTGTCCTATCTCCTCTTCAACCTCCTTCTCTGATTACCACCAAAACTCTAGTTTCTATCCACCACCAAATAATTTGCCCTTTTTTTTTTTTACCCATTTCCTATGGTAACCACCATTTTTTTTATCATTCTATTGTTTTGTTGTGTTATGTTTATGTATTTGCTTTGCTTCTTTATCTTCCACATATGAGTAAAATCATACAGTATCCAATTTTCTAGATCTGGCTTATTTCACTTAGCATAATCTCCTCAAATCCATCCAAATTGTTGCAAATGACCAGATTTCCTCTTTGTTTATATAGCTGAGTAGTATTCCATTATTTATATCCTATCTTCTTTATTCATCCATAGATGAGACTTATATTGCTCCCATATCTGGGCTATTATAATAATTTTGCTTTATTAAATTGCTGAATAATGTCAAAAAGTAAACTGTTGCGTCAGGCAACACCACACTGATAAAGAAAGAGACGGAAGTCATGGAGCAGGCTACATAATGCAGGATGCTGCTCAAGAGCAAGACTCCGGCCTTTTTATTGATAAAGTAGTCATACAGCATTAATCATGTGAGGAAGTAGAAAAAGAGAGGGTGAAGTAGAAGAAGCAGGGGAAGGGAACTGTATTTCTCACTTGCTGGTAGCTTGATATGTAGATCAAGCCCTGACTCCCCAGTCTGGATTTCAATCTTTTCAATAACGCATTCTATTGATCAGCTTCTGGGGTCCTTTGTTAAACATCAGTCAACAGCCCCCCTGGCGTTCCAGTCATACTTCCTGATGTATAAGTAAGTTTATGCATCTGTCATCAGCCCTCTGGGCGTTCATCTTGATGCATACCCTCCTCAGGGTGATCCAGCTTTATGCTCTTAATTAATGTGAAAATCATCTTGGAGGGTTGGACTCCTATGGCCAGGTAGTTCTGACCTTGCTTTAGGAATACAGACCTGTAGGTAACAAAAATGGAGACTGATAGGCCACTTAGGATGAGCAGACCCATAATAAACCATTTCACATAACTATAGAAATCCAAAATTATGCTTTGGATTAAAATGTGGAGATTCTTACTTTCAAAACAGTAGTTGAAAGGAAGGCCTCTCTGATTTCCCCACCTTTTTTGGATGGCAAAGCTATTTTGCTTCTTGTTTTCTTATGTATGCAAAAGTGACAATATATTGGTAACTGTAGCTTCACCAAAATATAATATGTATTATTAAAGCCATGTCTGGTAACTCATAAAGTATATTAGAATTTTCAGTATATTAATAACAGCTCCCATTATTTTGTTTCCAAATGAGAGTCAT